TTGTATTTAGCTGTGAATAGGTCTTGAGATCGTTTTTATTTCACGCACTATAAAAACACATACTGTGAGAGAATTTCCCCGTCTCTTTGTCCATTAAATCCGTTATATGTATTCTAACATACGGGTGTAAAATTTCAGAAATTGTCGTTTGAAGGCGGATGAAATAGCAGAAGAAATATTGGAAAGACAATTTGATGAAAACCGTGTATGTGAGTATTTTTGCCTGTGAGATAACCATGATGCACTTTTCAGAAGACAATAAAAAACATTCAGTCTTACAATGCACGATACAGATCTGTTATGTTGTCATAAAATAAATAAATAAATAAATAAATAAATAAATAAACAAATAAATAAACAAAACGAGCATATTGCGATCAGGTTCGGACAACTACAAGATTGACGTTAATGCGTGTATATCCTTATGTAATGTAATATAAATATATTCTAGATAAAGACTGATATCATTTTCACTAAACTGATAAAAAAACTTCTGGCATGGAAGACGCGTCATTAAAACTAGTCTTAAATGCGCCAAATTAAAAAAAAAAGAATTCAGCAACGTCTCCCTTTCTCTTTTCAATTCTTGTGACATTTGAGAGGTGAATGAAATTAAGTCTTGCATTTATAACAGAAATTGCATATTTTGTAATTATTATATTTTTTTTTCAGAAATGACACGTTTTCGATTTTATTCAAGTACATAACTCCGTTACACATAACATCATTTTGACGATCCAATTAAACCACCACGTTGATCAAAGCTAAGTGCAGTGATGCTGTAATAAAACATTGGGTCATTTTTGTTGTCGTATGACATAACCACAAAGAAAAAAATCGTGAAACCTGGTAGCATATTGCAAGATGGATTTTCGAATCACTCTCAAAGTAAAATTTTGTAATACAGGACCGGACTAGCTGTCTACAGACACACGGAAGGGGACTCCAGAACAAGATAGTGTGAACTCTATACTGACGTGGTTGATATAAAACACGGATCTTGACCAGACTAGACAATTTCCTTCCATTTTGTACTATTACCGAAACTTAAACAAAGTGTCCCCACGTTGTAATTTACTTCAAACAGGACGTGTTTCTGCAGCCTCGACAGGTGACAGAAGGTGGACGGAGATTCATGGTTTCAAGACGGATGTAAACCGTTTCTCAAAATCTTCCCCTTCCACTCCGCCACCCACTACCTGTGTGTTCCGAAGTCTTGTCATCACCAAACTACTTAATTTAACTGCTGTAACAATTGAATTAGTTATCTTTGTGAGTGACAATTTAATTGCTATTTTAAAATCCCTGGAAATGTTTTACAACTAGCAAAAATGTCATAAATTTATTCGAGTGTCTATTGACGAGCATTCATAAAAACGATGGAAAATGTTCAACTTGTAGGATAATTAACTTCTCTTTGGTACATCACACTTTGGTTTGTTCAGGTAAGAGTAGACTGCTAGATGTACCGAGTGACCCTGGGTCCTACATAATGAGCGGAGGCTACCTTGTGTACGGCTGTCAGATAACATCAACTCGGTACAGGTTTGTATCTTCATAAACGATTTATGAAAAGAATAACAAATAAGCGAAACTTCAAACCCAAATGTTGATCTAAAACGAACTAAGTGTAAACAGGCCAATTGCCAAACTGTTTTTATCAGTAATCTTCGGTTTCAAAACACTTTGTCGAAAAGGTAACAGAAATTTAATTCATTACTGAAATACGCCATGTATGAAATTATCAAATCGTTTGTGAATCATAATATGTTTAAGAAGTTATCAAATGGTCATGATTGTGCGAGTTCTGGAAAAAAAAAGTGGGAAAAAGGCAAGAAAAAATGTTTTTCTATATTCAACACGCACATAGTACATAATCATTTCACCGAGAGATGAATAAACGATGAGACGAATATCAGCTTAATTATGACGTAAAAAAACTATCTTATAACATCATACTATCACATACTGATAATTTACATGTGAAAGGACAAATTTTCAGTTTAACTACCTGATGTTTTTTACAATGAGTTCCATTATCTCAGCATATTATTAACGCTCCAAAAAAGTTCATATTAAAATGTCATTCCCGGAGTCAATTTTGGACTAATGTTACAACACACAAGTCTCCCTTATTCCTGTGATGTACTAATTAAATTTATGAAACGGAGATGTGGCGATTTCTCGCTCCATAAATGATACAAGTAGGGGCTCAGTACAACATATGCTATTTAAGTGGAGACATCGAACCGCTAGACAAACTGGTACTGTCTTTGAGCCATTACAGACAAGAAATTATCGTCCCCTTCTTCGAAATTATGGTTTATTGCAAAGCACAGTAGGAGATAACTAGTAATTATACCATAAACAAAAATATTAGTACTGATGTGTATTAGTAAATGTATTTCGTTTGACATCTGTTTTTTCCTGTGGAACAAAGAGATGGAAATTACATCGCAGGATATGCTGTTTCCGACTAAGCTTTCATACACACATTGCATACTATTTTATTATCTGACATAAGTCTGGTTCCGTTCAGTTGAAAGTTTCTACAAAGGTTTTGTCTGTGCCATATGCCATATCACTTTAACACCGCACTGTTTGCTAATGGCAAATGAAAAAAAACTAAGACATGCTCAATTTCCGGAACTTTGACCCGTGTCCGACTCCTTATGGCCTTATGTAATCGTACTCTCTCTGGATCCGGTGCCCTATCACAGACGAAGAATTGGGCGCACGTGGCCGACCTGTTCTTCCACCTTTATCCACAAAAGTCGACTAATTATCATCAATACACACAAAACGATTTTATATCTGCGCCAAACAGCAGATAAACAGCTTACTGAGTCTCGTAGATAACCCCGGTGACCCACCGAGAAAGTTTGTGTTAACCACTTCCGGTGTTTTTGTTACTAAGTTGTAGATAAAAAGTCCGAGGCAGTTGTGTCGATTTGTTGACCTAGTTACCTTTAATTTATTGCAAAGTTTACTCTCAGAAAGGTGGGACTTGATCAAAAGTCAAATCAAATGTGCCGAACGTCGAGCGGATAACATAAAAACATACTTCAGTTCGGTACGTTTCTCTACATTCTTTACTAAGGTTTTTCTACCTTTGGAAAATTAAATATTTATCAACACATTCCTAAACTTTATGACAAATAATAAGTATAACCATTCTCAGCTTGTGTACAATCTGTAGATATAGAGTTTTCAAGATTTTCTTCAGCAGCGAGCCGTTACTCGGATTTCCGACTTCGAACAGCGAACAATGACAGCGTAAAATAAACCAACATTTTTGCGTGCCATTTGGCAATTTTTCACCCGTCTTAGGCAGCGGGTGATGACGGCTAAGTGATCCGAGACTGGCCACAACTGATGATGGAGAGGCCACGCCAACGGTTGTAAATCTATCCCCGGCCATGTTAAGTGATGGATGGTAGGGGGCGCTGTTGTCGGAAATGATGGAGATAATATGTCATAAGTATCTTGGCAAATGGCATACTCGGGATTTTTATTTATATTCATTTGTTAAGACAGTAAAAGGTGCTCGTTAAACACGCTGAAGATGTATAAACTTTATAAATCATTTTTACTTCTCCTCGTCAGGTGAAACGAGGTCATATTTCACCACTTTCGCCATCCCTTTCGCTCTTTATATTCCCCAATCATTGTCCTATATTGCCTCTCAGTGTTTCTATATCTCTTTATTGGTTTTTGGCTTGCGAAGAGGATCTTTGCAGTCTTCGATTTTTATTCTAGTGGTATCGATGTCTGATCATATCTGATTGGTTAAGAGGGTAACGTACTGACCAATCGCAAGGATGAGAAAGAACGTTAAATTTGACAGACTTAATCAAAGATAAAATCTAGTCGGTTTGATAATAACTTTGCGGCACATTTTACTTGTTTGTGTAATCAAATCATGAGTTCTTAGGTATCAGTGTTTCGTAATAGCACGAGGTGACATGTATGTCAACATGACACGCAACGAAGTAGAGTAAAAAAATAATAAATTGGTATGTTTTTAATTTTCGAAAATGTGTTGGAAAAATAAAAGTAACATGTTAAGCATGTTAAGAAAATGACCCGAGAAGAAAAAACCAATAATAACATAAACATATAAAAAATAAATAAACTTACATGTATATATCGGTCTTTTATGTTTCGATTTACCAATAGTCAACTTGTTATCGTTTCCGTCCATGAATGATGCTGTCTTCTGTGGAAACATTTTATCATTTGTCAATGACAGCAACACGACTCCATTCTAATACCTTAACTTTTCTTTATCATCACTGAAAAGAACGGAATTGGAGGGTCAGCTTACGATGCATGATGTCACGTCATATCTCGGTCAAAGTTGAGAGATATTCACTGTAGTGTTTATTTTGATTCCCACCGAAAGTGGACAAATGATGATATCTAGATAAACTATTGAAATATCCCAGATACATAACGAGCGATGTATCCGATAGACCCATAGGTCTCGTCCGGAAAACTGGTTTTTCGAGGACGGGATAAGAGGGCTTTTGTTTTGAGTGAGCTGATACGACAGATAGCTGTGTTTTAAGCATTCAAAGGTTTCTACTGACTGAAATAATGTGTTTAATCTCTAATGGCACAAACTTCCCATCCTGCTTTATCTACATCGGGAAAATACACATGTAATGCATTTTATGAATGAAAATGCGTCCACGCTGTCTAGGAATACAGAGACAATTTATTTGTGTGTATAACTATGTAAATCAGCGTGTCTTAGAATGTAAATCAACAGCTGTTAATGAGATGTATCAGTGGGAAGGGGGTTTGTTCGTGACTTGCCCTATAGTTTACGGATCAGAATGTCTCAGTGTCTATATTAATGTACTACACAGGTGTTTACATGGCGCTACCCACCTTCTCTATCTCCCCACTACGTATCACACACTCTATCGCATTCTTGGCCAACAAAACTAACCTCGTTCTGTAAAAGAAACCCCGTCGTCCAACCCATCTCGTACCGCGTTCTTTATCTGCATCCCTATTTCGTCCGCACACCTCTCGTCCACAAACCTTGTGCCACCTTTTGCCTCCTCAACCCTCGTGCACACACCTAATCCCATGTTCTACTCCCCTCTACTCTCATGCAAAAACCTTGTATCGTGTTCTGCTCCATTTATCACACACTGTGTACCACGTTCTGCTCCCTGTGCCCCTCTCGTCCACATACAACATACCACGTTCTGCTCTCCATATCCCGCTCGTCCACACACCACATACCACATTCTGCTCTCCATATCCCGCTCCTCCACAATCCACGTACCACGACCTGCTCCTCATGCTGCTCTCGTCCACACACCACATACCACGTTCTGCTCTCCATATCCCGATCTTCCACACACTACATACCACGTTCTGCTCTCCATACCCTGCTCGTCCACACACCACATACCACGTACTGCTCTTCATATACCGCTCGTCCACACATCACGTACCACGTTCTGCTCTCCATACCCTGCTCGTCAACACATCACGTACCACGTTCTGCTCTCCATACCTCGCTCGTCCACATATCACCTACCACGTTCTGCTCTCCACACCCTGCTCCTCCACACACCACGTACCACGACCTGCTCTCCATAACCCGCTCCTCCACACATCACGTACCACGTTCTGCTCTCCATACCCCACTCGTCCACACACCACATACCACGTTCTGCTCTCCATGCCCCACTCGTCCACACATCACGTACCACGTTCTGCTCTCCATACCCCACTCGTCCACACACCACATACCACGTTCTGCTCTCCATGCCCCACTCGTCCACACACCACATACCACGTTCTGCTCTCCATAACCCGCTCCTCCACACATCACGTACCATGTTCTGCTCTCCATGCCCCACTCGTCCACACATCACGTACCACGTTCTGCTCTCCATACCCTTCCCCTCCACACACCACGTACCACGACCTGCTCCTCATGCTGCTCTCGTCCACACACCACATATCACGTTCTGCTCTCCATACCCTTCCCCTCCACACACCACGTACCACGACCTGCTCCTCATGCTGCTCTCGTCCACACACCACATATCACGTTCTGCTCTCCATACCCTGCTACTCCACACATCACGTACCACGTTCTGCTCTCCATAACCCTCTCCTCCACACATCACGTATCACGTTCTGCTCTCCATACCCCGCTCCTCCACACATCACCTACCACGTTCTGCTCTCCATACTGCGCTCCTCCACACATCACGTACCACATTCTGCTCTCCATACCCCGCTCCTCCACACATCACGTACCACATTCTGCTCTCCATACCCCGCTCCTCCACACATCACGTACCACGTTCTGCTCTCCATGCCCCACTCGTCCACACACCACATACCACGTACCACGTTCTGCTCTCCATGCCCCACTCGTCCACACACCACATACCACGTTCTGCTCTCCATGCCCCACTCGTCCACACACCACATACCACGTTCTGCTCTCCATAACCCGCTCCTCCACACATCACGTACCACGTTCTGCTCTCCATACCCCGCTCCTCCACACATCACGTACCACGTTCTGCTCTCCATACCCCGCTCCTCCACACATCACGTACCACGTTCTGCTCTCCATACCCCACTCGTCCACACACCACATACCACGTTCTGCTCTCCATGCCCCACTCGTCCACACATCACGTACCACGTTCTGCTCTCCATGCCCCACTCGTCCACACACCACATACCACGTTCTGCTCTCCATGCCCCACTCGTCCACACACCACATACCACGTTCTGCTCTCCATAACCCACTCCTCCACACATCACGTACCACGTTCTGCTCTCCATGCCCCGCTCCTCCACACATCACGTACCACGTTCTGCTCTCCATGCCCCACTCGCTCCTCCACACATCACGTACCACGTTCTGCTCTCCATGCCCCGCTCCTCCACACATCACGTACCACGTTCTGCTCTCCATGCCCCACTCGTCCACACATCACGTACCACGTTCTGCTCTCCATGCCCCACTCGTCCACACATCACGTACCACGTTCTGCTCTCCATGCCCCGCTCCTCCACACATCACGTACCACGTTCTGCTCTCCATGCCCCGCTCCTCCACACACCACGTACCACGTTCTGCTCTCCATGCCCCACTCCTCCACACATCACGTACCACGTTCTGCTCTCCATGCCCCGCTCCTCCACACATCACGTACCACGTTCTGCTCTCCATGCCCCGCTCCTCCACACATCACGTACCACGTTCTGCTCTCCATGCCCCGCTCCTCCACACATCACGTACCACGTTCTGCTCTCCATGCCCCGCTCCTCCACACACCACATACCACGTTCTGCTCTCCATGCCCCGCTCCTCCACACATCACGTACCACGTTCTGCTCTCCATGCCCCGCTCCTCCACACACCACATACCACGTTCTGCTCTCCATGCTCCTCCACACCCACGTTCTCTCTCCACACACACATCACGTACCACGTTCTGCTCTCCATGCCCCACTCCTCCACACATCACGTACCACGTTCTGCTCTCCATGCCCCGCTCCTCCACACATCACGTACCACGTTCTGCTCCACACTCCATGCCCCACTCCTCCACACATCACGTACCACGTTCTGCTCCATGCCCCACTCCTCCACACATCACGTACCACGTTCTGCTCCTCCACACATCACGTACCACGTTCTGCTCTCCATGCCCCGCTCCTCCACACATCACGTACCACGTTCTGCTCTCCATGCCCCGCTCCTCCACACACCACATACCACGTTCTGCTCTCCATGCCCTGCTCCTCCACACATCACGTACCACGTTCTGCTCTCCATGCCCCGCTCCTCCACACACCACGTACCACGTTCTGCTCTCCATGCCCCGCTCCTCCACACATCACGTACCACGTTCTGCTCTCCATGCCCCACTCCTCCACACATCACGTACCACGTTCTGCTCTCCATGCCCCACTCCTCCACACATCACGTACCACGTTCTGCTCTCCATGCCCCGCTCCTCCACACATCACGTACCACGTTCTGCTCTCCATGCCCCACTCGTCCACACATCACGTACCACGTTCTGCTCTCCATGCCCCGCTCCTCCACACATCACGTACCACGTTCTGCTCTCCATACCCCACTCGTCCACACATCACGTACCACGTTCTGCTCTCCATGCCCCACTCCTCCACACACCACATACCACGTTCTGCTCTCCATACCCCGCTCCTCCACACATCACGTACCACGTTCTGCTCTCCATGCCCCGCTCCTCCACACACCACATACCGCGTACCAGGTTTTGCTCCTCCTCATGCTCCTCTCGTCCACACACAACGTACCAGGTTCAGCAGCCCTTGATGTACCACGTTCTGGGTTCCTTTCATTACACTCTACGTTCACCAGTCATAAATAAGAATTTTGACAATTATTAATGTACGTTTCATGTGACGTTGGTTTTCTCTGTACGTCATACCAGGTGCTAAAGTTATGTTATGGTTTAAGAATTGATATATTCTCCTGGCAAGAAGGCGTGTATTTGTGTTAAGTCGGTAGTATATATTTTCCCTAGGAATTTATAGTTAATAATCCCTATATAGTATCATGAACATTTCACTTTAATCTCTTCTGTCCTCAGTAATTTGAATTGTCCGTGATGGCGACAACATTACTACTTCAATTACTGGATAAAGATAATCTTGCAATGACAATATTACCAAGATGGCAATATGGACAGGAGGTGAAAAATATCAGTATCCAGGCTAAAAGGACGGACTTTGCCAGTCAGCATGCTGTCTCAGTGTCTAAGACAACCGTTCAGCAAGGAAGCTTTGAATTCACCAAAACATCACTGATAACAGACCAGACAACAAAACCTCACTGATAACAGACCAGACAACAAAACCTCACTGATAACGGACCAGACAACAAAACATCACTGATAACAGACCAGACAACAAAACATCACTGATAACAGACCAGACAACAAAACCTCACTGATAACGGACCAGACAACAAAACATCACTGATTACAGACCAGACAACAAAACATCACTGATAACAGACCAGACAACAAAATATCACTGATAACAGACTAGACAACAAAACATCACTGATTACAGACCAGACAACAAAACATCACTGATAACAGTCAACAAAACATCACTGATAACAACAGACAACAAAATATCACTGATAACAGACTAGACAAAAAACATCACTGATAACAGACCAGACAACAAAACATCACTGATAACAGATTAGGCAACAAAACATCACTGATAACAGACCAGACAACAAAACATCACTGATAACAGACCAGACAACAAAACATCACTGATAACAGACTAGACAACAAAACATCACTGATAACAGTCCAGACAACAAAACATCACTGATAACAGACCAGACAACAAAACATCACTGATAACAGACCAGACAACAAACTGATAACAGACTAGGCAACATAACAAAGCATCACTGATAACAGTCCAGACAACAAAACATCACTGATAACAGACCAGACAACAAAACATCACTGATAACGGACCAGACAACAAAATATCACTGATAACAGACTAGACAACAAAACATCACTGATAACAGACCAGACAACAAAACATCACTGATAACAGATTAGGCAACAAAACATTACTGATAACAGACCAGACAACAAAACATCACTGATAATAGACCAGACAACAAAACATCACTGATAACAGACCAGACACAAAACATCACTGATAACAGTCCAGACAACAAAACATCACTGATAACAGACCAGACAACAAAACATCACTGATAACGGACCAGACAACAAAATATCACTGATAACAGACTAGACAACAAAACATCACTGATAACAGACCAGACAACAAAACATCACTGATAACAGATTAGGCAACAAAACATCACTGATAACAGACCAGACAACAAAACATCACTGATAATAGACCAGACAACAAAACATCACTGATAACAGACCAGGCAACAAAACATCACTGATAACAGACCAGACAACAAAACATCACTGATAACAGACCAGACAACAAAACATCACTGATTACAGACCAGACAACAAAACATCACTGATAACAGACCAGA